AAAATACAAATAAAAGCCCACAGCGGGGATGGGCGCCCCGAAAAGGCCGGGCTGCGAGCCTAGGTGACCCCTCGGGGTCAGTGTCGGCCTCCGACCCGAGGACAGTCAATCTCCCCTCGGGTCCATGCATGCACTCAGAGTGACTGCGAAATACCTCGTTCAGAGTACAGTGCGCGAAGCAATACCAGCAGCACTTTGATTGATTGGTTGATTGATTGGTCCTGCTGAGACAGTTCAGGCTGGCCTGCAGCCCACGCAGCGATCCTCCTGCCTCAGCCTCCTGAGTGCAGGGATGACAGGTGTGCGCCGCCAGGCCCGGGGAACAGCTCCGTTTTTAAGTGAAGCAGCAGATCCGGACGGGCGGGAGCCTTGTACTGTCCCACAAGGCAAACAGTGGTTCCCATTATTTGGGGCTGAAGAAGGGCTTCGGAAACGTAACTCGAATAGGCTCTGTCACCGGGGTAGGAAGGCTGTGCACAGCTTGCTGTGGACTTTTCCTGCGAAATAATTAGAATCGGAATCCCCACATGGTGACTAAAGTCCTGGTAGAAAGTCTGTGGCTGAGACTTCATTAGCGTCATAAAACAGGAAGGCAGCGCCGTCGGTGTAGTTAATTTAAATTAGCGTTACGCTGTAAACAGAGAATTGATGCAGAAAGCTATCTCTGTTTCATACTTTGCTTAGAGTTACTTAGACTGGAGGTAAGGGTTACATGGCTGACTTAGTTTCTCTCTCATGAGCAGTTTACATGCACAGCCTTTAAACCCAGCCCTCTGGGGCCGAAGCTAGTGAGGACAAACGTCAGAAAAAATACAATGCCTGGATTTATGATTTCAACTTATTAAATAGTACAATGTGGGCCGGGGATTTAGCTCAGCGGCATAAGCGCCTGCCTTACGAGCGTGCAGTCATGAGTTTGATCCCCAATACCAATTAAAAAACCAAAACCAAAAACAAACCACCAACCAAACAAAACACCATAATGTCCCTTAGAAATGAACATGTGAAGTCTCCCTTGTTGTGTGAACACTGGATAGCTTTCTTTTGGTATTCTCTCATTGAACCAATTCCGAAAATCATACTCTTAACCTGCGTGCTTTATATTATATTTCAGGGATTTCTAACAGCACACTCTGGATACATATGTGAATTCACTGCCAGGCTGCGGCTTTCCGCGCATTTCCAGAGCGTATTCTGAATTCCGGACCCCAGGCAGGGTGGCAGGCACTGGCTGGACGGGGCTGGGATGTGCCAGGCCGCTGGGCCCTCAGAAGCATGGTCTGTGTGGAGTGGGCAGCTGCCTGGCCTGCACAGGGAGGGAAGGGAGACCCAGGGTCCTGAGCAGAGGGGCTGCGGAGGTGCGGGAGCGCTCAGGCCGGGACAAACCCCTGGGTCTCACTGGTTCTATAGATACCAGGACCTGCTTGTAGCAAACGGTTCCCGTGTGCTCAAATCAAATAACTGGTTTTGACCTGGGCACTTGGTTTCCCTATATTTCCAATGCAGAATTAATTCCACGGTTGGTTTATCTGTATAGAGAAATTATTACTGAGCATCACAATGATAAAGCCAAAGTGTCCTGCCAGTTTTGGCTTACTTTTTAAAATGATAATCATACTTGGTGGCCTAAAATTAACAGAACATTGATTATCATCAGAAAACAGCACTCTAACAAGGAAAAACTATCTATGGCATAAAAGTCCCCCGTGTGGTAGCGCACACCTGCAATCCCAGCAGTCCCAGAAGAGGTTAGGCAGGAGGAGGGGTCCAGCCCAGGCAGTTTACTAACTTGGTGAGACCTTGTCACAAAATACATGGTAAAAAGGGACGGAATGCAGCTCAGCCGGCAGGGCCCGGGCTTAATGCCCCACATTTCACTCAATAAGTTGGTCAGTTGATCAAATAAAAATCAGGTTATATATTCAGAATATCAGAACAGATTAGACAGTAACTAAATCTATGACTTAGATAAAACATTAATTAAATATCATATCTGTGAACATTGAAATCCAAATACGTGGACAAATTTGCTCTTGTCACCAAACCCAAGAACATTTCATTTTTTATGTGAAACTATTTCCTTTTTTAATTCATGAAAATATGACTTCTGTAGATTTTTTTTTACAAAACAGAACACCAAAATATTGACTCACAAGTATCCCCCAATAATATGAAAACAGCTTTAGTTTTTATGACAATGCTGAATACATTCAGTCATTTAGCTGTGATCAAGTGTTACTTGCACCTAAAACTGGATTCTCATTACTATTTTTCATTAATGTATTGCCTTGCCTCCGGATTTTCTTAGGAAAGTGTTTTGTGAAGCATAAAGATTATCTGTCATCATGCAGGTTATTTTTCTTCACAATGATAAGATGTGGGAGAAGCTCTCTGCCTCCCGGGGAACCCGAATTTCCAACAGAAACACATTTGGTTCAGTTTACGGAGCTGATAGCATTAGCACCTGTCTGACTTCTTTGAAGTTTAAATCCTACACTTCATATGTGTTATTTGAGTTGTTCACAACCCATTTTCTTTTATCTGAGTGCAAAAAGGGAAATTGAGTAAAATTGGAAATGATTGCCCAAAGGACTGGACAGGTGTTTTCGGTGTCATATAGCTGCCCTCTAGTGGTCAGAAGGAATATTTGTAGTTAATTTTACAGCGGTAATACATTTCTAAACTAAATGTCTCATTGGACATGAAGGCAATAAAATTGGTATGTGGGATTATATAAATTATAATCCATCATAATAATAAAAGCTCTAAAATATTTTAGTAAATTAAGCTATTCCACACAAAACAATGCAAAACTCATATTTTTGAGAAATTTGTTCTTCAAATTATGCATTCAAGATTCAGCCTAGCCCACACAAGAAAAATAAATTATGTTTAGAGTACTTTTATAAGTGGAATTCGTGCCTGAAACAAAAAATGTTACACATCTGTAATAAAACAAAAATACTTTAGATAAATCCGCTGCCTGGTGTTTTAATAGTCATTTTTTCCGGGTCACCCTGTTTAGGTACAGAGCTGGATCCCATGCCTTTGCAGTCCAGCGGGGCTGCCTCTGCCCCAGGTGTCAGCAGTAGGTCCTGGAGAACCACTGAGCACATCTGTTCTGGAGTGTCCTTTCTCCATTTACAGAGAGTTTCTGGGAGAGGTAGCACTAGCTGTCTTTTGTATGTGTTGTGCTGATTAGCTTTTATTATTAAAGAAGCTTAGATAACAGATAGTTAGCTTAGATAACACTTCTGATACAACTTTTTTCCACCAAATTGTATTTCCTGAAGCCTAGATCTTGTATACTTCTATAGTTTAATTTACTTTAATACCGCTCACTTACATGAGTTGAGTGTATGTGAAGATCTTAAGCAGTGTATCTCTTCTTCAGTGTGTGATGTCCAGAATGCTGACACGTAGAAGGCTGGATGAGGGGCACAGTGCACACCTGTGCCACACCTGTGCCACGCCTCTTTCACACCTGCCTGCATCGTGCTTTGTGTGCCGTGGACCTTGACTCCCTGGGATTGAGAGATTTCCACATCTGCTTTTCTGTCTTTTTTGTCTCTCATGCAAAATTATAGTACAACAATGAATTCCTTTGTGGAAACCTAGATTTTATTCATTTATACCCTTGATTTTACACATCCGTAATAAGGATTTAGAATTGTTCATCTTTTTAAAATGAAATATAACTTGTTGTGATATTTCTAAAATATATTTCTTTAAATCTTGGAGTTCAATTTTTATTTTATCAGTTTATTTCTAAATCTCAAATAACCAAAGCAAGTATCACCTACAAAAAAGACAGCTAACCCAAGCTGAAAATAAATTTTGTTACACAATGCCGTTATGCATAACTCAGTTGACTGCTTTCCCCAAACTTTAAATCATGCAAGTACATTTAATCTTTTGAGTTCTTTAAAAGTTTTAAAGATCTTACCTTAGGGAAGAAACCTTCATAAAATTTTAAATAAGCTTTTTAAAAATCTAATAAATGGATTTAAGAAATTTGTGTTCTCAAATTCCATTTATAATTTGGTCAAGTGTTTACACACTAACATAGATAATCATAATTCCTAAATTATTATATAATTGAATGTGTTGAGTCGGCAATAACATTAATATTGAGGCACTTTAAACACCACGTGCATGTACAGACATCTTCCGGGTCACAGATCTTACAGCCTCGCCCTAAGCTTCCGGACCTCGCTCAGGCCATGACCCTTGCCCAGGGTGTCTGACCTCAGGGCTGGGCTGAAGGTGGGGTGCGCACAGCCACTCTGCACCCCGGATGGCGGTAATTCCTGCAGCACAGTGATTACATTTTGGGCCCGCTGGGGAAGCAGGACCCCAAGTCCCTGTGCCTGCTGGGTGTTGGCCTTGCTGGTGTTCAGGGTGTCCCGCTAGAGTTCCCAGTCATTAGAAAAGACGTTTCCCTGTTCCGCGGAGCTGGGTGCCCCTCTGCTTTGCAATCTCTACAGGTCGTCTGTACCCTGTGCCAGGCCTAAGTGTGAGTCTGCGAGGCCGGGCGGGGTGTGCACCCCGAGAGCAGGCGCAGCTGCAGTGGGGTCCCCGCGCCCGGATGGCCTTGCGGGGCGGTGCAGACACCGCATACTGACCCTGAGCCGTGGAGGCCTGGTCCACAGGGTGACCCACACTGGCCAGACTCGGGGTCCAGTGCTCGCTACCTGCCCTCCCGAGCGCTCTGCTCTTAGGGGCCTGATGGAGTAATTGGTCCTCTTCCTAGTTATGAAAGGAGAACCCGAGACTGGCTGAGAGGGACTGCCAGATGCCCGGCTCCCATCGTGGGCAGGCGGCCACTCGGGACTCAAGGCCTGGTTGTCACAGGAGCAGCCATGGCTCTGCAGCAGAGGTGCCAATGTCCTGGGGTCACCGATGTTAAAAAACCAGATATGATCCATGTGGGGGAGGGTCACATCCTGTCCTCTGGTGGGGACAGGCCTCAACTGGCTTTCTGGGGGTTTTCCCTGTAGGTGGCGAGCTCTTCGCGGGCCTCTATGGTGACTACTGGGGCCGTGATGCTGCCCTTACCCGCAGCCCTGGCCGCCTGGGCCATGTGCGCACTGAGCCCGACGATGAGCGCCTGCTAAGAGGTAGGTGGTGCCAGTCTCGGGCCTGGGCAGGAGGGGGAGGGAAGGGCATGGCCTGAGGCAGAAGCCTGGCCGCCCACACGGGGTGCTCCTGGTTCACGCGGATATCTGAGTGCTTTTCCGGGCCCTGCAAACCGAGCAAAAATCAGAGACCCGGTGTCAGTCAGTCACCTCCATGCGCAGGGCTTGACCGCAGAACCATCTGCCTGCGCAGCACAGCCTGGAATGAGGTTTCCAGTGAAGAGAACAAAACAAACGTAGGAAAAGTAAAACCCCGCGGTATCCCCTAAATTTTGCGTGGGGTCCTCAGTCCCTCAGTCGCTTTGATGGCATCGCGTGGCGTTGCACGTCAGAGACAAATCCCGCTCCGTACAGACAAACGTGACCGCAGAGTTCTCTGCAAGGAGTAATTCATTCTCCGGCACTTCGAAGGGTGAAAGCATCTTACGGGGAGCGTTTATGAAACTGAGCACCGCTTGTAAACCGCAGTCACTGCTGGAATAACTCCCAGCAGTGTGGGTCGGTGGTCGTTTACCCAAACACCGTGGACTAGACACGAAAACTTGCGTCCACCACTTCAAACTAGAAATTTGCCTCCATAAGCCAGTGTGATTTACACATTGAGAGTCACGCGATTTGCGTTGAGATTCACATGCAGTTTGCACATTTACTCACACCTAGTTTGCACACTAAAATTCTCATACGCAATTTGCGCGCGAAGGGCAGCAGTCTCCTGGGCCATCGAGCGTCGCCCGCGGTCTCAGCCCCACGTGGCCGCACCCGGACAGGCCAGGCGACGGCTTGGTCACCCACGCTGACCGCGCTAACCCGGGTCTCTCCCCGCTTTATTTTCTGGCTGAACTCCCTTTAGCGCCCATTTCCAGCCATCTGTCTGCTGGTCTGCACACAGGAGGTGATGCCTCCGGCTTCCCAGTGTTTGCCAAGAAAATGTCACATTTCTCCCCAAAATGAGGGCGTGGAGCTCGGCTGGAGGCGAGCTCACGCTCTGTGGCCTCCACTTGCCTCTCCCCTTCTCCCCACAGAGCCCAAGTTTGTGGGCGCCCACCTGGTGCCCGACAACGAGGACCGCGCGGACGACAAGGTCTACTTCTTCTTCAGCGAGCGGGCGCAGGAGGCTGAGCGTGGCGCGCAGGCCCTGTTCGCACGCGTGGGGCGGCTGTGCGTGGTGAGCGGGGCAGGGGGGTGAGGGGAGCCCTGCGGACTCCTCTGCAGCCTCCCAGGAGCCGCCAGGCCCCGGATGCTGCAGGCCCTGAGAAGCCTGTGCACAGCGCAAGCTTGGGCCCGAGGTCGCCTCCAGCTTCCAGACCAGGCTGCAACCAGTCCTTTTGCGCCTCGGTGAGAGCTGGAGCTCTAGTTTCTAAACGAAGGTGACCCACGTCTTTCCCTCCATCAATTCTCAGTTGAAATAATACACATCGCTGCGTTTGAACAACTTAGCTCGATTCTATAGAAAAACAGTCCATAGTGTGTTTTAAGCAAACAGGCTGCTTGACCGCAAGCAAACTGAAATGGCAGAAATGTGGGGAGGTGCTGGTGCGCGTGAAAGCCGCTTTGGCGTTTGGGAAGCCGCTGACAAGCACAAGAGATGCATCGTATATGTCCACGTACATTTCGTGTGCATGGTCTGTAGTGCAAATATATGGCATGGATATTTGCGTGGGTGTGTATATTTCATGCCTTCTTTATTAAAGGGCATAAGAAGAATGAATCCTTCCCGACTGCTGGGATAGGCAGATTGTTTCTCAACAAAATATCAATCAGGGCCCCGGACCGTGGTACACAGATGTAAGGGCAGCACTCTGGGAGGCTGAGGCAGGAGGAGCCCAAGTAGGAGCCCAGTTTAGTGAACAATTTAGTGACTTAAAGAGATGCCGTCACAAAAGTAAATGTAAACAAGAGTAGGAATGTGCTCCATGTGAAGGCTCTGGGTTCCGATCCCAGAAGCACACAATCACACACACATAAAAAAGATTATGGTGAAAGCCACCACTTTGGGACTGCTATGTTAATACGGGTTAATACCTAGAAAATATTAACACACAGGGCAAACGTGCACTAAGGAGCTACAAGGTCCCAATTTTAAAATGTTATTTTTTTTCTTCTTTTTAAGCCTAGGGCCTTCTACCTATTGTAGCGTTTGAGGGTGATGATACATTTCCCTGCCTAAACTTTAAAAAGCAGTGAGTTCCCGCAGGTTCAGGCCTCTGCACATCTGAGCTGCCTTGGCGAATGTGCGTGGGACCCACGGTCGCACCTTGTCCCCACAGAATGACGCGGGCGGGCAGAGGATCCTGGTGAACAAGTGGACCACCTTCCTGAAGGCCAGGCTGGTGTGCTCCGTGCCGGGCGTGAACGGGATCGACACATATTTCGATGACTTGGGTAACAATTATCAGATAACTGGGTTTTCCTCTCCCCGCCCGCCTCCCTGACGCTCACTGTCTCCAGCACAGGGCGGCTGTTTCTGACCTCTGACTAAGCTGGGGCAAACTTCCCTCCCTTTGCCTTGCCCTGTCTGTGGCCTGTTGGGGGCAGAGGAGTCGCAGGAGCAAAGCCTGCCCCTCTCCTAAGTTCAGCGCCTTGGTCCTCCCCGGGGCTCAGCCCAGGCACCCTCAGGGCAAAGCCACTTCCTTGGCTGCCGGGGGCTCCTGCCTGCTGGTTGCTTATGGAAACAGATGTCTTAAAGTCTACAGAGGGCTGGAACTATGCAGTGATGGCTCGGCCTTTGATTTTCAGAGGATGTTTTCTTGCTGCACACCAGAGATCAGAAGAACCCAGTGATATTCGGACTGTTTAACACTACCAGGTGAGAGATGTGGTCAATAGAAATGACATGACACAAAAATGATCTTAATGGTCCTGCTCACAGTGCACACAAATGTTTGCAGTGAAACCACACCCGCGGGTAAAAGGTGTTCTCCTCCCTCCAAGCGTCCCAGGCTGCGAGTCCTCCCCTTGTCTTCCCACCTCCTCTGCCCTGAGGTCCTTCTTTGCACTGTCCTGGCTGCCTCAGTGTGCTGATCCATCACAGTGGTGACATTTGAAGGTCATTTCGACTCTGGGGAGGAGCCAGAGGTCCCACGGTGCCAGCCCCTGAATAAGGTGGACCAGGACACAGTGTCTGGCTGAGCCCACCTTTCTGCTGGGTGGACCTCGGTGGCAGTGGTCACATGTCATAAAGACACTCACCAAAGAGGACTCCAGAGCTGCTGCAGAAGGCGGCAGAAGCAGTGGACGTGTTTGACACGAGGGGATGTGCTGAGGGGGATTAACCGCGGTGTGCCCTCGGTGGTGATTTTTAAATATACCATATGCTACTTTAGGAAAAAATGAAATTTCACAACAAAATAGTAAGCAAATAACAATAGTCAACGCACTCCGGGTCATTCTCTTCAGAGGACTCAGAGTACAGGACAGAGAAAAGCTCTCTTTTTCCTGCAGAAGGAACACCTGGTAACTCAGAGACACTAGGGACCATGCCACCTCCCCTCCCCGTCAGAGCCCCCCTCAACTGTGACTGTGCTTTCGTTTTCAAAGCCTCCATCTCGGGCCACATCCATGTCTGTAGCCGGCTCCCTATCCTAACCCCGCTCCTCTCTGAGACCCTGCAAGGAAACAGCCTTTCCCCACGGAGCTCCTGAGGCGGCGGCTCCGTGCTCCAGCCGTATTTACCAAGTGGACTCCCCACGCCGGGCCACTGCTTTCTCTCCGGCACCCACTGAGGTCGGCCTCCCAGGATGCACAGATTGGTACCCTGCTGTCACGAAGGCCTCCTCATCCCCGACTTCAGGGGGTTTGCTCTTATGCAGGGGCACAGGCTCTTCTCTCTCTCCATCTTCTAAGTCTAGAGCTCACATTTTGCACTTAAAGTCTGTTATTTTACATTTTTTTCTGTTTCACAGCCATGGAGGAATGGCGTTAGGTAAAATAGTATTTCACGTGTGTGAACATAGAAATTTAAAAAGACTACAGAATTGGCTTTGGCTGAAAGTTTACATTTACAGTTTCCTGGGTATCTCACCAAGTGCGGCAGATTGGGGTGCAATGAGAAAGGCCCCTCTGGGCCCCTCTGGGGTCCGTGGTGTGAGTGGTCCTGACTGCATGGTTTGCACAGCAGGCAGCCAGGAGTCTGTGGGCTGTCCTTGGGGTGCTTCCACTCACTTTTGTTTAGTTTTTCAGCAGGTGATTTCTATTTGCAAACAAAAACAAGTCCATAAGACAAGTATCTTATTTTCGTAGAGAGAGATCTTTTCTCCAACGGAGTAACGTGGAAATGCTTGGTCTTATTGATTATCCCTTGATACAAATTAAAAATAGTTAATGCACAGTAATAGTTCTGACAGTCATGGAAAATTCCTTATTTTTATGCTTAGTCTTCTGCCTCACACAAATGAATGATTTATATAAATAACGGCAATTCAGAGATTTTTACGTGATACATTTAAGCAACGGAATAATCAATGTAGTTTTTCTAAGAGTTAGCGTGTTCCATTTATCTGCTGTTCTCCTAAATGATGGCATATTGGATCTTTCTGAGAAATCAAAGACGAAACATGATTTTCTTCCCCAATTTCCATTTTGACTGCAATTTACCTACAAGTCTGAGGAAGAAAAGCTGCCAGCTGTTCTCTAACACAGCGGCTGGCATCACAGAACGGTGATCAAAGGCAGTTGTCACTTTCCCCAGAGACTGCCTGCTTCCCGATTCCCCGGGCAGGTCCAATTGCTTCAAGGCGTGTTCTACAGCGCGCGAAGCGATGTTCTCAGGCAGCAGCACAGCTGCTGTGCCACAGATGTCTCCAGGTAGGGGCGGTCCTGCTTCTACTCAGGACTTTACACTTGAAAAGCTCGCCCACGAATATTACTTTATCTTAATTCTCATAATACAGAGGCTTAGAAAATGTTTTAATTAATTTCAACTATGCCAAATTAAGAAATATGGTCAGATGTCTTAGTTGATCTTTTTTTTTTTTTTTACCAGTACTAGGGATCGAACTCATGACCACACGCTTGCAAGGCAGGCACTTATGCAGCTGAGCTAAATCCCCAGCCCCCTTAATTGATCTTTTAAGAACATATTTTTCAGAATCTGATTGCAAATGCACCCAATAAAACTTGCTGTAGTCAACTACTGTCTTTATCTTCTGCAAGTAGAAAATTGTATGTCATTTTAATTGATAGTAATTCAGAAGGGATGGAACCTGAGTTTTAGATGATTAAATGATTCTCTGTAGTTTACTGAAGTCACACAAGTTGTCTTTCCATGGTCACACTGTCTTCAGGGATCCGAAGGAGAGAATTCAGTGCTTAAGTGTGCAGGACTTACGAAACCTCAACCTATAAAATGGAACAAAGCCCTAAATTTTCATGAGACTTTAAACTGTTCTTCCCAACATGTATGCGGAGATAGCTGACAAAATTCAAATTGAATTGGTAGCAATAATAGCAGCATGATGATTAGAGGAATACAACATTGAGGAGAGAGTGACATTTTTAAAAATCCCAATACTTTAAAATGAGGAATTGAACTTTAGAATGAAGATTTTCTTACTATGAAGGATTGGTCTTCCTTAACTAAAAACATAAAAATGCAGCCTCAGGATTTAACAATAAAAGTTAAGTGGCCACCAATTTTATCATTTGAACAGTGTCACTTCTAAGTATAATAAATAGGAAATTAAAGAAATGGTAAGCTTTGGCTCTTCGATGCTTACAAATTTTGCGACAGGTATTATTTCTAGCTTATTTTAGCTCAGAGGAATCGCAGGCCTTCGCCCGAAGTACTCTAGCGTGCATGTTGGAGCGCTGGCCTCTGCCCTGTGGGCACTGCATCAGCAATGGCCTCCTCTCATTTCAGCACCATCTTCAGAGGACACGCCATCTGCGTCTACCACATGTCCAGCATCCGGGCGGCCTTCAACGGGCCGTACGCACACAGGGAGGGGCCCGAGTACCACTGGTCTCTCTACGAAGGAAAAGTCCCCTATCCCAGGCCTGGTTCTGTAAGTTTACTCTTCTAACGTGGTATTCTCCTGGGAAGTCCCCTATGGTGATATTTTCCTCCCTGTTTCACGTGGTTTAGTGCACTTTGCAATTCTGTATCTACAATGTGCTTAGGTAGTAAAGAAATACCCCGGCTCCTACCAAGTCATATGCTTGCTGTTCTAATGAATATAATCCATGATACATAATTTTTCCTGCATCCTGAAGTATATGTTGTAATTTCTACTTTTGACTAAGAAGCTGTAACTCAACGTTTGCTTTCAGGGAACTGTGAACACAGAAACAGCCAGTAAGATGGGTATCATGCGCTTTCCTCCGGCCTCTTGAGAAGAATTAGTGTCTCATGGAATTGCAAGGAAATGTCACGCAGAGTTTGTGTTTCCCCCAGCCTCTAAGTTCCCTAAGTCAGACTTTCCCCTCATTGTCATCTTGGCAGATCCAGAAGGAGCTTTCCGTCTGCCTCCGTAGGATACAGAGTACCTTGCTAAACATCTTTCCTGGGAATGAGAGAGGAAAGACATGTCCACAGCGAAGTGTAGAGAGTAAGGAATCCACCAGCCTCCCTGAGGGCTGGCTGGTGAGTCTCCCTAGCTTAAACCCCTGTGCTGTTCACTGTTCACATGTCCAGAAATGATGGCACTGTGATAGCTTGACACCACAGGTCCTGTGTGCACTCAGTCTGCAGAATTGCTGGATTTTTATGTTCCTTGTGAGTCAGTGGAGAACAACCACTTAACTTGTCAGGCAAGTCAGTGTCCAGGCTTTCAGAGCAGCTGGTAAAAGCTCATCACTACTCCCATTCCACAATTGCTTGCAAGCCAAGAAGAAACCATTTCTGCAGAGCCAAAATCCAAAGTGGAAACAAACCTTACCTCCATTAACAAGTGTAAGCCATTACCGTTACAATCGCTCTCTCCCGCTGACTTAAAAGTATTACTTCCAGTAAGACATAAAGTATATTTTATTTCTCTCAATTGATTGAAATTGTAATTGAGTGGAGAAAAACCACTCCTGTGGCTTTGCTGGAAGTGCCGCTGGGAACCACACGGTTTTGAAGAAGATTGAAGGGAGTGAGTGTTGCCGGGCTGCCTCCACCCGCCTCTGAAATGTTTCCAATTACGGGCAGTGAAGGGGCCAGCGGACAGGCCCCTGCCGAGCTGAGACACATGGCCTGATGCTTTTTAAAAAAGAAATCACTATAAATGCCCTCTTTGCACAATCTGATCACTAAACCCCTGTAATTCTAAAATAGAAAGGTTTTTATTTAATCAAAATGATCGTTGCAGTTGCTACTGGTGTGGAAGAAAATACCAGAAGCAAGGGAGAGCTAACAAGCATCGGTGGACACAGCCAGAGGTGCTGCAGGAAGGGACTTGGGGCGCCAGGGAGCAGTTGCAGTTAGGGTCAGCGGATCAGGAATTCAGACACGTCATAGCAAACGCTGCCGGCTTCCTCAGATTCCGGCATCCAGCCCATGCAGCTGTACTGCCGACGACACAGATTAGAGCACAGAGAGCCGTTTCTCTCCAGGGCTTACGGTGGTAACACTGGAGTAGGCTTCTGTGTTACGGAGCTACGATTGCCACCTGGAAATGTCGCTGGCCGTGCTGTCGCAGTCTTCGCAGGAAAGCTCTGGGGTGTTGTGAACCTTAACTGCAGGGAACTTAGCACAACACAGAGACTGCTCTCCCGAGTCACAGAGTCTTCACTTCCAAAATTTAATTCACCACATGAAAAGTTTTAGGAAACCGAGGAAACAGTTGAACATTTGCTTCCTTTACTGCTGGCACCTCCAAACTATCCTGGTATTAGGTATATTGCACTTTTCAAGATACTGAGTAATATTTTAATGCTGCCTCTTCCCGAGTCTGGCTTCCCTTGGTGACTTTGGGTCTGAAGGGCACTGAAGGGATGGTGGCTTCCACCTGTGTCTAAATGTACAGTTGGATAATTGAACCATGTCTATTCCCCTGATTCCCTTCGAGTAGTGGTTTACCCTCTGGATTTCTGATCACCTGTGTTTCAGTGTCCCAGCAAGGTGAACGGAGGGCGGTATGGGACCACCAAGGACTACCCCGATGACGCCGTTCGGTTTGCCAGAAGCCACCCACTCATGTACCAGCCCATCAAGCCCGCCCATAAAAAGCCAATATTGGTGAAGACAGATGGAAAATACAACCTGAAACAGATAGCAGTGGACCGAGTGGAAGCCCAGGATGGCCAATACGACGTCTTATTCATTGGGACAGGTACAGAGCCGAGGCAGTGCTAAGCCGCCTCGGTCACCCTGGAGAAGAATCTCCAGTGGCCTTTTTAAAAGCCCCCACACACACCTGTGGGTCTGTTAGGCTGAGCGCAGGGCCAGTCCAGAGTACGGACTGAAGTAAGCGTCCTCACGAGTGGCGGCAGTAGGAGGCGGCGCCCCTGTCCTGGGCTGGGTCCATTGCTGCCGCTGTCACTGGCAGCAGCAGCATCATGGTCTGCATCTGGCATCTACTGGTCAACTCAGGAAAGGACAGGGGTGGTTACGGCCCACAGTTCCTGACGCCTGGTTAGTGCTTTGTACAGTCGCATAAATGAAATGAACGCTGAGGCGTGTGGCCCTGGGCTCCGAGCTGGGCTCCCTGGTGGGGCGCTCCCATCAGACCCCAGCCCAGCACTGCCCCTGCCTGCTCGGGGACAGCTCACCGTCCCACAGAGAACCTGGGACACCTCTTCCCACACACAGCTCGTCACCCCAGAATCGGTGGTTGCCACGAGCAGGCGCCGTGTAATGCTGCACATTCGCTGCTCTCACTTTTAGGCAGAAAACTAGCGTTTGGGGGGGCGGCAGGTTCTGGGCAGGACTTGACTGCCCTGTAGTCCTTTCTGCAGTTACTCTGCTGCTTTCAAGCAATGGATTCTTTCTTACGCAGCATGATACCCGCTATGACAATTGGTCCTGAAAGAGTAAGGAGTAAGCATTCTCCTGGGGTCACTCTGGCACATCCCCAAACTGGAAAGCAGGGCCCGTGGGCCCCCAATAATGATTGGAAAATAAAAAGTAAAGATTTAAGCAAGGAAATATTAATCTTATTTCCAGAAATTAAAATGGTAGTGGTACATTTTACCTATTTATCGTAGAACTTTAATGTTAACAATGTGCTCTGTGTTGGAAGATATCAGACTTCTCCAAGAAACTTAAAATGACTTGGCTGTGAGCTCACACACAGCGGCTTCCAACAGAGTTAGAAAAGGGCTGAGGGCTCGTAGGTGAGACTCGTACTCGATAAGGTTTGTGGGATGTGTCATTTCTAAATGTCCTAGAGACCAGGGGGCTTACTAACATCCCCGTAAACGTGTTCTTGTCAGGTTGACCAAAGCTACTTGAGAAAATTCCAGAAAGATCAGTATATGTTTGTACTGTCAGATGCACCATACAGAGCTGAAAGTGACCGCTCCACCGAACAACAGCTTTCAGAACCTCAGAACCTATTTGATAAGTGTTTGATAAGTATATTGGAAAATCCCACAAGTAATGATCATTTCTCAGTGTTTATTAAATAAAGGCTATAAATATATATATATATATATAGCAAATTAATATTTGATTTATATTTTTTGCCTGATACATATGTGCTTGCTTTTTCAAAATTATGTTAATTTTGTTTCTTTTAGTTAGTGGAAAATACAAGTAATTATTATTAGTTTAATTATAATCTAGTTTTATTAAGTAAACCATAAATTAATTTTTCAAAATACTACTAAAAAACCATTGAACCCTTTAATCAATGCTTAAGTACTTTTTTTAGAATTATTATTTCTAGCAAGACATCAAAATATTTGTGAAGGTAAATTAATGTCATTAAATTTATCTTTGGAAGTATTGTGAATAGAGTATTGTGAATAATAAAAGTTAAATATGCCTTCAAAATATAAGTACAAACTTATAAAGTAATGGATAATCATAGAATCTAAATTATACAGGAGAACTCATACCCTTCCCTCAAGGGTGTAAACTTGGATTGTTTTACTTATTAAAGTGTGTTGGGCCGAGTATGCAGCTGGGCAGGAGAGCAGTTGCAGCACATGTGGCCCTGGGTTCAGTCCCTAGTGCTGCAGAATCAAACAGCAAACCAACAAAAGTAGTGTGCTTTGGTTGCCATAGTGCACGGCTCAGGATGTTCCTCAAGGTTATATGCAGAGTTTCTCCCTAAAAATGTGGCTTCAGTAAAAACTTATCTCGTATCATGTATCACAGGAACCGTAACATTCCCATCTGTCATACTGCATAATTCCCAAAGACATTTTGACTTCTGAGGTTATGCTCAAATTTTTGGACCAAATTATGTGAATGCAACTTTTCATGTTTTGGCCAGGTGTATAAATTAGTTTTTTACTGAAAATATGAATACTTAGTCATATGATTTTTTTGTGTTTTTTTGGTCTTTTTCGTTTTTATCGGTTCCAGGGATCGAACTCTCAGCTGCCTGCTTGCAAGGCTGGTGCTTATGCTGCTGAGCTAAATCCCCAGACCCCAGTCATATGATTGTGAACTGGCATTCTTTAACATATTATATGCACCTAGATCTCACGTTATTTATATTCATGGTCCTTACATAGATTTTAATTATTGGAAACCCAGATTGTGGTCTGGCTCTTCTTTATCTCCTCATTTAATTCTCCTAGATGCTGGAATTGTCCTGAAAGTCATCACGATTTACAACCAAGAAACAGAATCCATGGAAGAAGTAATTCTAGAAGAGCTTCAAATATTCAAGGTACTTTTAAAAAAAAAATAGCCCACATGGATGTACTGTAGATGACAGCTGAGAATTAAAGGGGAGATGTTCTATCCCAAGAGCTGGGCTGGGAATTCACACACTGGAAGGAAGGATGATTTAAAACCCTAATAACTCTTTCATGTTCGTTATGGACTTTTCAGTAGAAGAGGCCTGTGGTAGCCTGAGAATGATTTCAGTGCACAAACACTTACTATAAAAATAGCACTCATGCACCTGTGAATTCTGTAATTGTAAGTGCAAACGCACATGGTTCACAAAGGCAACATTTTCACATGTTGGATATTGTACAAGGACAACCACAAGAACAATCGTATCTAACATGCATTGACTACACAAAGGGTTTACTAAAGGGAAGTAGAAAACGAAGGACATACTAACAGGTAAAGCCAGTGTGAATCGATACGTGTGTGGTGCATTTCCTGTGACTGTCCACTTGGCCACCTCCTGTCTGTAGGAGGATGGTCTTAGGCTACCCAGACTCACCGGGGCTCCTGAGGGAACTGTGGGAACTGTAGATTTCTGATGGCCACATTTTCAACTGGTCAACATGTCGCCTTGTTTCATGTCTTCTTCTGTTTCAAGATATCATAAGGGACGTTTTGGACTAACTTTGAGCTCACTGTCAGCAGCTCTATGATTCTTGCCTTGATGGAACCCATGTGATGAAAACCTGTTCTTTATTAAGATGCACCACCACCTGTTTGAGTTTAGAAACGCTCAACAGCACCTCAGGCTGCTCTGCAAGGCCACTTTAATCAGCCAAGCACCAGCAAAGAGCTCTGGGTTTTGTGAGCTAAGAGTTCTTGCCAAAGACACTCAGTTGCAGGAACATCACCCAGATTTCAGCCGCCCAGGGCACTGGCTGCAGGGCACATGCATGCCCGTGCACAGATAAATTTTAACAGGAGGTGAATTTGCAAACATAGAATCCATACACTGTTAGGACTGGTCCCCTAGACAGAGATCCATGCAGTCTCTGTCTTGGGGATCTAATGCATCCACCCCAGAGCCTGGATTCCCCAGAGCTGCACCGAGATAGCAAGTTCCTATCACAGGCGGGGCAGCTGTGTGTTTTTGTGTGTTTCAATTGGGAGCCTCTGTGAAAGCTTTTATTTCCCATCAGTGGTCACAGCTCCCGTGTGAACAGCACCCACCACTCTGACTTTCGGCAACAGTGTTGCCTGAGTGAACAAATGAATGATGGAGAGCCAAGCCTGGTGGCACAGGCCTGCTATCCCAGCACTCTGGGAGGCGGAGGCAGGAGGATCACAAGTTTGAGCCCCAAGTTGGCACTTTGGGGGTTTAGTGAGACCATGTCTCAAAATAAAACTAAAAGCTAAAAAGGGGCTGGGCACACAGCTCAGGGAGAAGGCCTTGGGCTCTGCCTCGAATGCTGGGAAAAAGAAAAAAGGTATATGAATGCATAAAGAGTCCACTAGTTTACAATACACTTCTCGAAAACTTCAAAGGCTGTTCCCCTGAATAGATTCCACCTATCTGGTGCTTTTCCACCGGCAGCACTGATCTCACTTCCTTTTGGTCTTTACAGCTGCTGCTATTTTAACTAGCAGCGCTAAAATAACACTATGGTATGTTCTGTCCTTCCTCTGGTCACATCCACAAGAGTGACTTTCTCGCATGGTTCACACGCAGTGGCCACACCCACAGAAAAGTGTTTTGTCTAAACGCAGGTTAATATGTGAAGGTAAAGACGGTGATTTAACAGCAGTAACATCCATGCTGAGGCATGGCTGTTTTACTTCTCATGGCCCCTGAACTCTACAAGAAAGAACGTTTTGGCTTTATTATTTTATTATACCTGAGTTTCCAAAGTAATATTCAAACGCAAATACAAACCTCACCCTGTAGAGAGGAACGGTAATCTCGGTGGAGCACCTTGCACTTCGCTCCACTCTGTGAGACAAGAGGGTCTGAGTGAGTTTAATTTACCTGGAGTCACACACTGATTTACCAAAATGAAAACCAGGTAGTCTGCAATCTATTCAGGTAGACATCGTTACATGTTCTCTCTTTAAAAAGGAAACTTTCATGCTTACATTTCAGGATCCAGTTCCCATTGTTTCTATGGAGATTTCTTCAAAGAGAGTAAGTTGTATACATTTGCATGTGTATTCTATACGTAACCAAAGATATAGGAACATTAGCAGATATTTTTGTGTATGAACAAGTTATAGTTTTATTTTCTTTCTTATTTTATTGTGTTGATAAAACTCAAATGCCAGCCATTGTTTCCATGTTTAAAGTTTACAGTGCATGCTATTGGCTCCAGGTCCAGTTTTACGTTGCAGATCTTACATTTAGTGTCTTCTTTTCTATTTTTATGCCAAGAAAGGTTTTACTTCTAGAATCATAAGACACTGTTCTCCAGTTGTCTTTCACAATTTTTTAAAAAAATAATAGTAGTGACAATTCCTTAAGCGTGTGCAGTGGATCTCACCTCCCATGCACTTCACTGGATGAGTTTGGGGTAACCCCACCCCAAACAGTTATTGTAAGTGTCCTGCGCCCTGTTTGCTGGTAATGTCTCCTGTTATCCAGCGGCAGCGCGCGATCAGAGGCCCTGCGAGCCGTGCTTTCACTCGGTGAGCACCACGGTTCGCCTCGCCGCGTTCCGCGCGCGTGCGCCTGTCCTCCTGGGTCCGCTAGCCCCGCGTCCGTCTGTCTGTCCCCGCAGCAGCAGCTGTTCGTCGGCTCCCCCGCGGCCGTGGCGCAGCTGCGGTTCCACCAGTGTCACCTGTACGGCAGCGCCTGCGCGGACTGCTGCCTGGCGCGGGACCCCTACTGCGCGTGGGACGGCGTGGCCTGCTCGCGCTTCCTGCCCACAGGCACGGGCGCGCAGGCCAAGAGGTGAGGGGACAGGGGATGGGGGACGGGGGACGGGGGATGGGGGGATGGGAGGGGGCTGGTGATTCGCCGCTTTCTTCTTTCCCTGCTGCTCGCGCCAAGGAAATACCCGGCCTTTCGTGTTTAAATACACATTTCCAGTTTCATCACTTTGAAAATAGCTTTCACGCGCTACCTGGCACGTGGCCTCGAGCTGATGGCGCCGTCAGACCTGGAGTTTTCCACCCACCCGCTGTGAATCAGCTGTCCCCTTCTCTGACATCTTTGCTGCGATAGACACGGACCATGTCAGTAAACTCGGGCTGGGGAAGAAAGGCATTTTGAAACCCGCCCTGCAGCTGCCCGTCTTCTATCCAGCTGGTCTTCATTTATTTCATTTTGAAAGCGAGTATTTTATCTCCTGCACAAATGCATTGCCTGTCTAATGAAATATGTGATTTAACTCGACCCACACCAAAGACACTTACCAACCTGCAAACCCAGCGTTGCCCTCCTGTGAGGTCCTCGCCAGTTGTTAGAGAGGGGGACCCGGGGTCCACTAGACCAAGAGCTTTGGGTAGAGAAAATACGCTGAAGCACAAGGCCCTTCCTCCGCCGGGCCGTATGAAACTGTGCACTCTGAGGAAACAGATAGTGGGAATATTTTATTCTCTACGGAATGAGCAGGTTTTTCTCATGATAAAGTGACAAAAGATAAGATAATGCCAAACACAGAAGTACTGAGAAATCTCTACTGAAAAGTAGTTCATATTAGCCTTAATTATTCTTATGGTTTACTTTGGGTAACTTTTAATCTTTTTCACAATCTAATTTAACCTAATTTAGTGTAATTGTTATACGATCATGTGTACAGTAGAATCTCATTAAAAACACCATTAATGCAAAACTTACCAATCTGAGGTAAGTTAAAGAAAAGATGTAATAAGACAATAGGGAAATAAATCTTTGGGAGGACATTTCAGAGCTGATACCAACTGTATAAAAGAATTAAGCAAATTAATTGATTTTATACAAATGTTTGTTACTATTTGAAAGCAATTCTTAAATAATATAACCATACTTGAAAATATTGATTAATGGGCCAGAGATTTAGCTCAGTGGCATGAGCAGCTGCCTGGCAAGCATGAGGTCATGAGTTTGATCCCCTGTTGTAATTGATGAGTGACTTTCATCCACTAAGCAAGTTTCTGTACAATGTACCAGGAGTGTGAAGAGCATAAGTCCCGCTGCATGCTAGGGTAGTACTCAGTCCTACCAGAAGTTGGGGCAGGGAACTGCAGACACTGGTGGTGGCATCGTGCTCCAGAGCGTGACCCTAAACCAACTCTCAACGCTGTTTCTGAGCTATCTTGGGGGTAGAGTTATAAGGAGGTTGTAAAGGGAGTTAAAGGGAATTAATTGTACAGAGGCATAGAATGTTCAAGGAAAACATGCAGTTACATGGCTCAAAGTAAAGCTGCAGGATCCCTGGATGAAAAGGAAATTTTAAAAAGATTTAATACATATATATTAATTGTTGTTAAACTGTATTTCAATTGATACATAAAATGTCAAAATTATGTATGTTTATGGGTGGCCGTGTGAAGTTCAACACACGTATATGTTGTGCGTGATTAAATCAGGACAATCATACCTGCCTCCCTGGCCACTTAGCTTCTCTGTAGAGAAATGTGACCATGGCGAGGAATCACATTCAAAGATGCAAACATTTCAGATTGCTTCTTCTTGCTGCTCGAAATATAAATGTTTATCTATAGTCACCCTGGGAAGGAATTTTACTGAGTAATAAAATTAATCATTTTATTGCTACTAGCAACAATCAACATGTTTACAAGCCTTGCACGGAATACTTAAGAACACAAGTTTCACTGTTTGGCATGGGGTAATGGTGACAGATTTTAACTGAGAAGCTTGAGCAGCTAAATGTTTCCTGGTACTCGATGCATCTCTGAGATGGTACAAGGCCAGCACCATTTTGAAAGGCTTAGATGAGAAGAGTTACTCAGAAGAAGTTAAATGAACGGTGACCCAGCAGTCCTGTGGGAAGCCGGGTCCATGGATGTGTCTGCTCAGCGCGGTGACGGCCAGTGCTGCCCTTTCAGGGGCGTCAGCCTCTTCCGAGCCCACCAGAGCAGCCCAGCCTTCTAGATCAGTTCCTGCCCTTGAAGGGAAAGGAGTTTGCTTTTATAGCAGCTCGTTTTTGCTTCAGACCTGAGTAGAAGCCGAAATTGAAAACTAGTCATTAAAATAAATACTTTTCTGCTCACAGAGTGAAAATGAATCAACAGGGTAGAAGAGCTAATTCTCAGGCCAAACCGCTTGTTTAGAATGATCTTCCAAAACACACTCTGATTCGTAAAGCAGGTCCTCCTCCCCCTTGCTCATATATTTTGCCTTTTTCCAGTATTCTCTTTAAAAAGTTTCGAGGAGATGAGAGACGTAAGAAAAATATACAGCTTTGAGAGTAAAGGCATTTTGCTCGACCTTTCTCAAACTGGAGAACCTCCTGTTTGTTTTTTTAATTCTGCAATAAAAGACCATTGTCCTGGGTTAGGAAAAAATAAAACGAAATCTTGCCAGAGGACGGGATGTCAGGTTTAAAAATGTAGGCGTCCAGTGATTTTAAACAAATGTTTTCACTCACTGCTGGTTAAATGGCTTATGTAGAAGTATGTGGCTGTTGTTCCCTTTATTCTGGTGTCACTGTATCCTAATCTTGAGAAAACACCACCTCTGCAGTGCAGAAACTGTTTCTCATTTCATTTTTGTATCCCTGGTCCTGATCGGTTTTCACTGTTGCTCAGCAGGCTTAGGTTCCCAACACTGAAGCAAAGCTTAACCGCAGTCCTTAAGTTCTACTCTAAGTCCCCTACCGGATGAGTAACAGCTGCAGCGCCAGGATGAGACCTGGAAACCAACTTCCCCGTTTGCTTGTTCCCTTTTCCCCAGTTGGATGTTCACTCTAGCTCCGTGGACTGGGCCTCCCAAGGCTTTTAATCTTGACTTTGTACAATCCTATATCCTCAAGTGAAAGTTTCTACGTAGTGACTGATTTAGAACAAAACACCAGATTTTCCATATAATTCAGAATTGACTGGAACTGTGTATCTTCCCTGCCTCTTCCTATAGAGTAAATGATGAGAAAGATCAGAAAGATAAGAAAACTCCCTCCAGAAGGGAGTGTCTCTTGAAATGTGCTTCATTGGCACTTTGTGGGAGGACATATGAGACCCAAAACAACAAAAGGAGGCCACAGCAGACCTCAGGTGTCAGCGGGCTGGTTCCCTTTCACAGATCAGAACACAGAGAGCCAGAAGGGACCCGCAGTCCACACGCAGAAAGCCACACGCAGTGTCGGGCGGCCTCGGGTTTGAATGTTAGGTTCTCCTTTCATTGTTCTGAGTTCTGTCATTGCATGGATTGAAAGCATCTCGTTGTCAGTTTGGAAGTCAGGTTCCTGCTCAGCCTTCTGCTCCCGCTCTATCCTGGAGCAGCGTGGTGATTTAGAGAAGCAAGCAGTATTTTCCACCTTTCTGTAAATATTTACATTTTTGTCTGATTTGAATTAAGTCTACCATAGATCTTGATTTTAGAATTCCAGGACTAGAAATGATAATTTTCATTGCTTAATTTCTCAGAAAGATGCTTAAAATTTTAAAACCTTATATATATTCTGGAAATCTTTCCTATGGATATAGATGACTATACTCTTATTTTAGTTATAAATTTTAAAACCTGTAAAATAATGTGAAAATATACTCCAAGTGGCCTTAATTCTAATAAGCATATGGAAGGGGGAAGCTCCTAAAATTTCTTGAGCCCCAATAGATGCAAGGCATCCTGCTAGCCATACAGCAGCCAGCGCACTGTGTAGAGTCCACACTCCCTGAATGGTGGTCTGAAGAGGTCCATAAGCTGGATGTACTTTGATTTACCTTTTTATTGGAAACTATATCTGTGCCAGTTGGTCACCTTGGCACTAGAGAAAGTGATTTGAATTCAAACACCTTTTCTCACGCCCTTTCCTTCTTGTGCCTCAGATTCTACTGTTGTTCTTTGCATACAACTCTTAAGCCTAAAATATTACTTTTTTTTTTTTTAATCGGTACCGGGGATCGAACTCAGGACTGCCTACTTGCAAGGCAGGTGCTTATGCTGCTGAGCTAAATCCCCAGCCACTAAGATATTAACTTTTGAAGTAAGAGTTTTCTTGTTGAACCAAATCTTTCACAAAATGTAAAGTGGGTTTATCACACTGTCGTTCAGGGTTTCAGAACCCAGTTTGTATCAAGATTTGAAGCACAGCTGTTGAAGACTATTGAGGAAAAAGTGGGCGCGCTGACACTTAGCGTCTGCGTCTGTTCCCGAGGCTGGCCAGCTCTCTCCAGCAGAGCCCAGCGGTTGTCTCCCCTGCCTCCCCTGTGGTTGTCTGTGCCCTGCACACCGACATCTGAACATGAAATGTGTCTCTTCTTCCAGGCGCTTCCGCCGGCAGGACGTGCGGCACGGGAACGCGGCGCAGCAGTGCGTGGGGCAGCAGTTCGCGGGTAAAGCGGAGCGGCCTGGGATGTGGCGCCCATCTCCATCTCGGGCACGCCGAGGGCTTTCTTCCCATTTGCATGTTCTAGAACCACGTCACCCCAAGCATTTGCTTCCCTCTTTCATGTAGTGATACGTGAGGACCCACAGTGCACAGTCAGCTGGCCGTGCCACTCTAGGACAGGCTAAGAGTGGGTGTCAGCAGGGGAGCCCCAGGGCCAAGGCGCGGTGCGCACCGGTGGCTGCTGGCGCAGTCCTAAGCAGCGTGCTGTCTCCACACCGATGCTTAGCAAGCGTGAGCAGCCAGGGTACACTGCCCAATGGAAGCGTGGGTCCAGCGGAGCGCTTGTCCTCTGCTCCTGGCCGAAGCCACGCCTGGACCCGGGGGTGGTGGCCTGCAGTGGGTGGTAGGTGATCCCGTGAGTTAAGAACGAGAGGAAATTTCAGCTTTGGGCAAATGGAAGGAAACTGAGACGAAGAAGGGTCTCTCCGGACCCTCGGCATCAGGAGGAGGGGTGATGAGCAGGGCGATGTCCCTGGGGCCGCCGGGAAGGGACAGGAGGAAGGGCACGGTGACGAGTCCCTGCTCGGATTTATGTGTGAGGCTCAGGAGACTCAGGGTCCAGGGCAGAACTCAAGTCACTGGGGATACCGGCAAGAATAAGGGTAGCCTTTATTAAAAAAAACTAAGGATGCATTAGAAGGTGAAGAGAACTCAGACATAAGGAACAAATCATGTAACCTAGCTGCTGAATTCATCCTGGTTAAAACAAACAAAAAACGGGCTTGTTTTCATTCTGCCCAGCGAGTAAGCATGCTAACCTCTCTACAAATCTGGAGTTAAGGCTAGGAGAGTCTTCCAGGTGTAAGAAGCTGTGCTTCAGAAGCCCTGAGTTTCCAGTGTTTCTCTCTTATGAAGCAGTGTGACCCTGGACCCCGCTCTCCCTTGCTCCTGCGCTGGGCCTGACCACTTAGATTGCTGACCTCTGCCTCCCCGTTGCTGTGATTTTGATCTCCGACCATGCTTGGACGTTTGAGGCTCGCATTCTTTCCCTGCCCCCGCAGCGCCCCTTACCATCCACTTCCCACGACTGCAAAGTGGAGGAGCCTTTATTTTGTGCTGGCTGTCCTGTCCTCTGTGCCCAAGTCCCTGTTGCTTCCTTTGGTCCCGCTCCATACCATTTTTAATACCTACAGTTCCCTTAAATGCTTTGCAAATAAATCATCCCTAACTGGTTATTCACCAGTGGTAAATAAGTGGTAAATAAGCATATTTATGGGTGAAATCAAAGTCCCGAGGCTGATGTTCACGTTCCTGTTGCAGGGGATGCTCTGGACAAAACTGAAGAGCACCTGGCTTACGGCATAGAGAACAACAGCACCCTACTGGAGTGCACCCCACGCTCTCTACAAGCCAGGGTCATCTGGTTCGTACAGAAAGGACGTGAAGCAAGAAGAGAAGAGGTAACACCTCGCTGCATGCTCCTGTGAGGGTGTCTGCCTGTCACGTGTGATCAGTGAGTGGGTGATGGCTTGGGGTGCTTCCCAATGTGTCACACCTGTCTTATTTTTAAAGGTCAGTTTTGCTCATTACACTTGATTTGTGTACCTATAAAAGTTAAGTGCACATCCCAACAGATTTTCTGTACACATTTACATGCATACACATGTAATGATTGTTGTTGTTTTTTTTTTTTTTTTTTTTTTTTTTTTTTTTTTTTTTTGGGTACTGAGTATTGAACTCACGGCCTTGCACTTGCCAGGCAGGTGCTTTGCCACTGAGTGAGATCCTTGGCTGATGCATGTAATTTTATGTGACTATACAGATCCTTGATTTACATTCTGGAAATTCACATTTCATTCAGGAACAAATTACAGCTTCATGATCTTACCGTCATGCTGTCAAAATTGTGGTCTTCAACTGTATCAACTCTGGCAATGTTCCAGGGAAGTAGTAAACATAGTCCCCTAACACATGCAAATAATGGCATTAAAACAAACAGCAGTGCCTACAGCACAAGGGCAGTATAAACTCAGAGAGTGCACACTGACTATGATCTTAGCACCCTGGGAGGCACCGCAGGAGAACCACAGATTTAAGCCTAGGTCAGCACCGTAGGAGACCTTGCCTGAAAATAAACAAATTAAAATGGCTAAGGATATAACTCAGTGCACAGGCCTTGGGTTCAGTGCTCAATACTGGGAAAAAATAAAAAGAGTAGCAGATGTATTAGTCAGCTTTGCTATCATTGAACACAGTGCCCCCCAGTTCCTACAACTTGGAGGAGGAGAGGCTTGCATGGTGTCAGTTGAGGGTTTCAGCCCAGTCAAGTGGCCCCATGAAGGCAGGGAGTGGCAATGCAAAGATTGTTAGCTCATGTCAGCCACAAGGCAGAGCAGGGGGACAGTGCCAGAGGAATTAATGGCCCCAAGGTCATACATCCTCGATTCAGTCAGACACATCTAGAAGTGTGCTCCCCCAGTCCACTGGCTGGACCCCAGTTCGAATCCAGGTGACACTGCACCCTAGCTACCAAAACCATCCCTAGTCAACTTCATACCCAAAGGCATGTCCTTAAACCACGCTTAATCTCCAAATAGTGACAACAGCAAGGTCAGTATCCCACCTTACATGATACGTCTATCCAGGGTACAACTGGAAATTTAGCAATTCCTTCCTTACTGTCTCAACAATTCCAGCATTTTTCAAAAATCTACGTCTGAGTTTCTTTTGGAATTCAAGGCAAATTCTTAGCTCTGAACCTTTGTAAAAACTAAAACAAGTCACGTAATTTCAAGGTAAAACGTCATACAGTAAGCGTTCCTACTCCAAAAGGAAGGAATTATTAGATAGAAAAGAAAGAGGGGGAAACAACAACACAAACATTAGGACTTGGAGCTGTATATCCTGCACCGGGTCACATGACGGTAACATCCAAGTTCCGAGTGCTTCCGTGACCCCACCCCACAGCCTCGAGGGTTGCAGCCCTCGTGCCTGTCTCTTGGGCTGGCTTCCCCAGACAGCCTGCAGCTTTCCTTAGCAGAGGTTTCCCATTGCTGGTACCCCCGTATTCCTGGGGTCTCCACTTCATCTTTGCTTCTTCCTCATAGCTTCACTTTCACATCTTGCCTTCTGAGGGGCCTCCTGCTGCCCCCCAGGTCTTCCTCTGTAATCTGGGTGCAAGCTTCCCTGAAACCTCAAGTCTTGCATCCTATATGCCAGCATCATGTAGGTGATGTCAAGATCTGCTGTGAGTGGGAGCAACAGGCAGCCTCCCTTGGTGCATGGCTGCAGTGACCTCAGAGTGTCTGCATGGCTGAGCGTGGCGAAATGAATCCTAGGGAACCAGTTTCCTACAAGGCCCTTCTCAAGTAGGACTGTCTTCTCAGATGAAAGGACTCTACTCTCAAATGAAGGGTTGACACTTAAACCTAAAATGGGTGAAGTTTTGCAGATTCCTGAGATGCCCTCAAGGCATATTTCTTCCTGTCTGTATACAAGTACTCGGCTGCTTTTTAATTACGTTAATCACAATAGCCATTCTTCCTTTGGCTTCAATTTTACAGAGTTTCCCCTGGGTCAAAATCAAGTTTTTCAAGTTTCTCTGCTCTACATTTCGCTTCTAATTCTAACTATAAGTCTGGCTAAAATCATTCAGCAGTGGTCATGCCACAGCCTGAATATCAGGCTACCTTGAAATTTCCTTTGCCAGGTATATTAGTTTACCACCCTCACTGTCAGTCTACTGCAAAGTCACAACATGAGCAAAATGTGGACAAATTCTTTGTCGTAAGTGTAATGCATATGGCCTCTAGTCCATTCCCAGTGAAATCTTTGCTCCTACCTAACACCTCTTGAGCCTGGCCTTTGCTCTCTACATTCTTAACAGCATTCTGGCATTCTTTGCTCTGACCAGAATCACCCATCAATTTTAGTGTACAGCATTCTGAGGATTCTTTAGCCAGCATCTCTAAACCTTTCCAAACTATCCCCTCATACCACTTCCAAAGGCTTCTAAACCCTACAGTCAGGTCGGTCACAGCAATGACCCTACTTCTTAGGTGCCAATTTTCTATATCAGTCAGCTTTCCTGTCGGTGAACACAATATCCCACACCCACCACTTAAAGGAGACACGGTTTAATTTGTCTGGATTTCCAGGGATCCAGTCTATGTTGGTGGCTCCAAGGCATAAACATCATGGCAGCAGGGCATGGCAGAGCTCAGCTTCCTGTTTGATGGGGATGAGGAAGCAGAGCAGGGAAAGGGTGCCAGGGAAGAAGGGCTGAGGGACCGGAGAAACTCCAAGGCTTCACCTCTGAGGCCCACCCAGACACACCTCAAAGAAAGCTCCACTAGCCCTCCAGGCAGCTCCCAAATGGGATTAAACAGACACCCCACCCATCAGCTCTTTCATCCCCTAAGCAGTTTTAGTGATGGAGATTCTGTTTCTGAAATCCTCTAAAGGATGAGAGAGAAATGACTTTTTGTGGAACCATTTGGAGGCAGTTGTGGGTGAAAGAATGTCTATTGAGGAAGCTGCTTGTGTACACGGAGAGATCCCTGAGGGAGGTGAGTCACAGTCACGGAATTATAAGTGGCAAGTAGAAGAATATTTGCTTGTATCAGAGAGATAGATCTTGACGAACATTGAAGAGATCGGTTTTGGCAAAAAGAAAGTTTAAAAAGTGGGTAGACAGTGAATCAGTGGAAATCTCTACTTCATTTTGACATGTAAGATTAAATATTTGTTGTTTGAGGCCAAAATTACTGATTCCAAAAAGTTCTTATTTTTCCAGTCTTCAGTGAAACTAAAAATCCAAAATATGTTAGGTCTACAGTGACAGCACACTCTGGGAGATGACTGAATTTCTAAAGCTCACTTCCTAGAATAGTCATGGAGAGGAGGCCAGTCTCTCAACCTGGGAGAGAGAATACAGAAATTCAATCAGGAAAGGAAAACTTCTGAGATTTTATGACAGTAAAAGAATAAACATCCACCCTAATACGCTACGGCACATTGCTCTCAGTTAAATCGCTCACTTAGAGCTAAAATATTTTCCATTTCACAAATGCGGGATGAAGTAAATTTGTAAATTCCACTGAAACTCACTTGGCTGGAGAGGCCCTGGGAATAGTCCATAATCCCTCCGGTTAGATGACTTCAGAAGGCAGAGGAGCAATGCTTCCATCAGCGGCCTTCTTCCCTGAGTACCTTCTGGTTCTCATTTGGAGCGCACCGTAATCTGCCTCTCTTGGAAATCCTTACCAAATCATTTTGACATGCTGCATCCATCCGTGTTCAACCGTGAGCTTCATTCTCACAGAGCTGATAGACTGTTCTCCTTTCCTGTAATCTTTAGTCTATTTTCAACTACGTTTGAATTTCTTTTACCAATATGTTTGCTGATACTTGAAAAATTGAATTTATGCTCTGCATAATAGTTATGCCATAATCAGATATTTCATGGATTCTATAAATATGGCCATATATGAAATGAGTTATTCACAATCAAATGCAAAACAAAACACACAGCTCCTGACTTCCTCAAAGGCTGAATGTATATGCTATATACTCGAAGCAGAATAGCTGGGCCAGAGCGCCTTAAGTTTTATTTAAGATGATTTTGAAGTTATTAACATTTCTGTGTCCTGTTTTCTATGAGACATACCTAAGGAAATACCACCATCAAATTGAGACCACTGCACAGGAAGGTCTGACTTTCCTGTCCCTCCTATGGCAGTGACAGTGCCCTCCAAGGCCCACCACTGACACTGCAAACCATAAATGGCACTTGTTTGCCGGGCCACAGAGCAGATGCATTTTCCTTTTGCTGAATGTATCTCTTTGATTCTGGGAATTTTTCTTTCAAGCTTCTGCTCTGTGCCTCTTGGACTCAGTCTTCTGGAATTACCCAGAAACACTATGTGCAGGTGGATAAAACTTTCTCATTAATCTTCAGAAATTGTACAAATGAATGATTCAAAAACATCTAACTACTCAACTATCTGGTTTGTGACTGAACTACACCAATTTTCTCAAATGTATGCTTTATGATTTCCTCCTTCCTCAAATATAACGTATAAGTTTGCTCTCTATACATTTTATTAATTCCATAAATATTTGTTGAAAGTCTGTTTTCTATGTATTCATAAGAGAACATTTTCTCTTGACTTGATAGCCAGATTGCTAATACTGTTGTAATTAGTTGCTATAAATATATTAAGCATAAATTTAATGAATATAAATGACATGATTTTATAAATAGCACTAGTTACTTTGCTATTTTAAAGGAAAAGAGACAATACAGTGACTTTGACAGACGAGCCTATTCTTTAATAAGTACTGTTGGACACAGTGTCTTTGGGTAGTGCCTTACTTGTTATTCCTGGATCTCAATGCTGCCTTTTAGGCCAGTTATCCCCTTCTTACACAGGGAATTAACGTTCAAAAAGTTGTGGCC